AAAATCTCATTGCTATAGAAACTTAAAATCTCATTCCTGTAGAATTAGAACTAACTCATAGCTGACTGTCCGTTGAGTTTCTGAGGCTGTAAATCACAGGGGAAGAGATTAGTTGTCTTTTCCCTGAAGATCGTCTTATAAATTCAAACCACTAGAGAGATATAGTCTTTGGGTTCATAAGCCAACTCCCTGCAAATTACACCACCAAAGCTCTCCCTTACTTAGTGGCACAAACTAGAGTAGAAGTGCCTCATAAGACTTTGGGTACACTCTTTATGACAACAGAGTATAATTCCTTTTCTACTGAGGGGTAGCCTGTTGACTTTAACCATCTCCCTATTTAGTTAGTGCTTCCAGATCTCTCTCTGTGTGTGTGTGTGTGTGTGTGTGTGTGTGTGTGTGTGTGTGTGTCTGTCTGTCTTTGTGATTTTTCTTTATTATTGTTGTCATTCTCTGGTGCATGGAGTTGACTCAAACTCATAGAAGCCCTACATATGAAATTTGCAGCTGCTGTGTCCTTCCACCTTATTAAGAGGCTTCTTCTTTATCTTTGACTTGCTATTTTACTAAGCATAATACCTTTCTATAAGGATTAGCCCCTCAGATAACTCGTCCAGGGGATGTAAGACAACATGTTTCATACACATGTGAAAGCTGGACAATGAGTATGAGGCAGTCCAAAGAAGATTAGTATCATCATTTTTACTTCTAAGAATCATTCTGCTAACATTTCCTCCAAGACAATGTTTTGTTCTTTTGGAAGTATAGAATATTCAGTATTCATGACCAACAGTGAAATTCAAAAGCGGCAATTCTCCTTTGGACTTTCTTATTCAATGTACAGCTTTCACATGCAAGGAGGCAACTGAAATGCCATGGCTTGGGTTAGGTGCACCTTTGTTCTTGACCTGACATTTTTACTATTTATCAGGTTAAACAGTTTCTTTGAAACAGATTTATCCAGTTAGTAAGTTAATTGATTTCTTGATTGCTGCTTTCATTGATTGTATATACAAATAAACCAAAATCTTTGACAACTTCAAGCATTTATCTTCTTATCATGATGTTGCTTATTTGCCTAGTTGTGAGAACATCTCATCTCTTTATGTTGAGAGGTAAAGACTTGGATCTTTCTCAGTTAGTTCACTAATTCTTCATTTTCAGTTATTAAGTTATGTTATCCAGGATATATTCTCTATGAAAGGATATCACATAAATGTTTGGCTAGGCATGAGACAGAATGAAAATATCTGGAGTGACATATTCTGTTTTTGACAAAGTTTGGTTTAAGTGAAAGGTCTTTTGCAATTAAATTCAGGTTATTAAAAGTAGGGGCCCTCTGGTGGCCTAGTGACAATAGTTGCACTGCAGTCCCAAAAGCACTCAGGTCAAAGGCTATCAGCAACTCCACAGGACAAGTATGGGCAGAGAAACCTGAAGTCAGAAAGACTGTTCATGATCAGGAAGTCTCAATTGCATAACAGTTCTCCCATTGAAAAATGAGAAGGGCAGAGATGATATGTGTAGGGCCCAAGGTAAAAGCCAGTCCCCCAATCCTTGCTATAAAGCCTCTCCTTTGGCACTGTGCCACATGCTAGGCTTCATCAAAAGTAAACAAAGGGATGTTTATTATTAATTTAAATACCAGTGAATCAAAAATGACTCCTCCTCTGACCTGTAAATGTCATCTTTTTCTTAAGCCATGCCCATACCATAGCAGTACCAACTGCAGAGGCTCAGAACTAATTTTGGCTTCTCTTGCAGGTTTGTGATTACCAGGCCACCCACAGATTTGAAACTGCTACGTTCGGACCTTGTATATTGTGCCATCCCTTTCGGTGCTTCTTATCTTAAAAAAGATGATAAGGAGATATATGAAAGTACAAATCTCGTGTCACTGATACAAGATACTATTCCAGGCTTAAATTATCCTTCCGCAATTAAGGTAGCTCACTGTGATGAACTGCAGTATTGGCACCCATCAGTCTTGTCAATGGATCAAGAAAGTAGGAAGTTTTCTGTACCTAAACAGACAAGGTTAAGTCAGAGCGATGGGCTATCATTACAGAGACATCCAGCTGAAAAGGAGAAAGAAAATGTAAAGGCATATATAAAAGAAGTAATAGAGGAGGCTATCTCTACATCCCATAAGCCAAACTAGACTTGTCAATAGTCTCTGTGAGCACCCACCTTGCTACTTACAGGGTATCTCCAAAGATGGACTTCAGATAAGATAAAATGGAAACATGCCCTTTTGATACCTGCAGCTTGGTGGTGGAGCGACAAGCCCACGCTTAGACACAAAAGTCTAATCCTCTCCCATGGGTCTGACATGATCAATAAAAATACGACAAATGCATCTTGAGTAAAACAAAATAAACCTTTCCATCAAGCAAAGAACATGCTCGTGTGTGCTGTATCAAAGATGTCCTTCAGTACTTGCTGGTTCATATATATATATATATATATATATATATATATATATATATATATATAAAGTCAGGAAAGATAAATAATCAAGATAAAAACATGGATAACTTGAATACAGGAGATGTAAACGATGTGAAAAATGACATTGTTTATCCTAGAGCAAGGAAATAGTACATTAGCATACTTCTCTTTCCATCTGACAAGGAAGACCCAGTGGAGTGATGTTGGTATTGATTGGAAATCATGCAGTGTTTGTGTGTATGTATGTGCACGAGTGTATGTGTTTGGGACCAAGGGAAACAAATGGCATATAAAACACCAACTGACTGCTGTATAGTTGATTTTTAACTTAAAGGAATCTTCCATTGAGGTTCAATCTGTAAATAAAAACAGAAGCATGCTTTGACCATGTTGTTAGAAGGTATCAGTTCCTAAAAAAAAAAAAAAACAAACCTAAAAAAAAAACCAAAACAAAACAAAAAAAATTATGCTTGAAAAATTAGAGTTTCAGAAAGAGAGTATATATAAGTAGTAGAATTAACACTCAAGCCTGTTTGACTCTAGCAATAAAAAATTGAGTTCTGGTGGTCTAAGTTGTTCTGCGAGCCCAAAGGCAAAAAGCTCAAATCCACCAGTAGTTCCATGGGAGAGACATGGGAATTTCCTCCTGTGCACTTGATAGCCTCAGAAAACCCACTAGAAGATCAGCTATGAGTGAGTTTCAAGTCAGTTGAACACACCAATAAGCAATCATAGACATTATGCCTCCAAACATTCAAATAATAATAAAAAAATGAGGTCTGAAAGAACCCAAAAAGATTCATCCACAGGAAATAAAGGTTATAGTAATCAAACTTTGCTTGTGATGAAATCAACTCAATCTATTAGGTGTGGGGGTGGGAAATATCTGTAAGGAAAGTTACCATGAAGGGGAAAAGTCTACTTTTATTTTAAACCAACTTTGTTGTTTCCATCCTTCTGTCTCTTTATGAATGTACTTTCTGTATTTTTCCATATGTCTAGAACTGTATTAGTTAAATGATGCTGCTATGACAAAAACATCCTAAATGGAGGGCTTTCACATATACAAATTCATTCTGCCATATTTTAGGAAGTTAGAAGTATTGAATCTAGAGTACTGACAGTAGTGGAGGATTTTATCTTTTTGTCAGTTTTGAAGGAAGATTTCTTTCAGTAGCTTTAGCACTGACAGGTCTTAGAGCATTCCATATGTCTTGGCCTTAATCTTTTCCTGTATCTAGAAGGTTCAGCTTGTGGTGTCTCTGACTCCAAAGGAGTACTGTGCTCCTGGAACTTCTTTCTTAGGAGTACTGAGGTACCTCCTCTCTGCTCAATTCCCTCCCTTTTATCTCTTGCAAAATAAAAGTTGTTTCAGGGAAAATTCTCCTTATGGGTTATGACTAAAATAAAGGTGTTTCATCGCATGCTAATCCCTTCATACTGGATCAGGACTGGTCACATCAGACCACATCATGAAAAATCATTAGAACAGTCATAATTAATGCATTTCATCATTATATACAAAATGCTGAGAATCATGACCTAGTAAACTTCACATATATTCTGGGGCCATGAAGTTCAATCCATGACAAGAAACCTGTGCACTCCCGATGCATCTTGACTGGAGGCATTGTTTGTGGAGTAGAAAAGAAGGTCCAAGGCTTAGAAAGACACACCATTAATATTGTTGTTGTTGTTAAGTGCTGGTGCCGATGAGTCAGTACAACTCATAGAAACCCTATAAACAACAGCTCTGAATCTTGTTCTATCCTATGCCATCCTC